TATCTACCTGCCTCCACAGGGGTTCCTGTGTGTGTATGTGTGTGTGTGTCCATCAACCGGCCCTCATAGTGGTTCCCATGTTCCAGGAACCTGGTGGGCTGTGCTGGGCACTGCAAGAGTGCCCACCAGTGACAGCGTCATAGCACCTGGCCTGGGGAAGTGGGTGGTTGCTCCGAGTGTCCTATCTATACAACAAACACCTGCAGCTTTGTGGGTCAGTTCTCCCGGTCTCTAGGGAGACTTCAAAATCAGGGTCTCAGGTTGAAGCTCAGGAATGCTTTCAAGACAGCGGCTTCAAATCTGGATTCTAGAACCTTCCAGCTACCCACCAGTATCAGAGCTAAAAGTGAGGCAGATGGAGACACTGAGGCCCAAGGCTTATGAGGAATGGGCCCCGGGATACACAGTTCTCACGCACCGGCCAACAAGGAGCTCGAGTGCACATGTGTGCACACGTGTTATACAGTTATAACCAAGCTACAGGACAGCCAATTTCACTGGATGAAGACATACTGTATCTGTTGATCACAGGCCCCAGACGGTGAATGGCACAGGAAGGCGAGAGACAAGGTAGCCGCAGTGGGACTGTCCTCTCTGCAGGAATATGCAGGCCTGTCTGAGAGTTAGGAAACCACCTTTATTGAGCTGTAGTTCCACACGTGTGGATCATCCCTAGAGAACACTGTTTCACGGCACTGGAAAAAAGTCCCTGAGAGAGGCCCCAGTCAGGTGCCGTACCTGGAGGCATGGGGGACTTCCGTCCACTTCCTTCACTCTTGGAATGTTCCCCCCAAACACACCTAATCCAGACTGTAAGACCATGAGTGGTTATAGCCACCCTGCCCCAGGATCTCCCAGTGTAGACACCGGGGTGAAAGGACCACCAGGGTTGTAAGTCCATAGTATGGGTGTTGAGTACAGGGCTCGGAGGGCTTCGAGGTGGTGACACAGGATCCTAATAAAATGAAAGAGGGTTGTGGAGACACAAGGCTAGTCGTGAGTTCCGCCAAGACTTGGGCATGGTGGCACACACCTTTAATCCCAGTACTCCAGGAGCAGAAGCAGGTGGGTCTCTGTGAAGTCAACAAATTCCAGGCTAGCTAGAGCTACACTGTGACACCCTGTCTCAGAACAAACCGCAGCAGTACGTGTTCCGCTAAGGACACTGGCCTTCAACTGGGAACAGATGGGAGCCCTCGTTCAGGTGGAAGGGATAGGTAGTGGTCTCCTTTTTAGCTGCCCACTCAGGTCCCTGCATCTGCGAACAGAGGTACAGGCTAGGATGCTGTTTGTGAGTCTGATCTCGTAGCCCTTTTCCCTCGGTCTGTAGAAAGGGGCTGGGTCAGGTCGGAGTTCTCTGAGGCCACCCAGATACCAGATGTCTGAGCCCGGCACTGAGTGAAGCTTGCTCCCCTTCACGGTGCCTCCTGTGAGAGCCAACTTGGAGCTCAACTCCGGGAGACAATGTGGAGGCTGGGTGTTGGGCAGTGCCCACTGCCTCTTTCCTTCCCTTCTCCACGACTGGTCTCTAGGGCATGGGGGGCCCAGAAGGACGGGCAGTGGAGGCAGTCAGAGGAGCCAGTCCGCCTGGCAGTAAATCATCAGGCCATGCTTTGTAATTATCTGGGCACTTAAGCTCCTCTATCTTGTCTCTCCCTTCCCTGGGGAAATTTCCTTCATTTCCTTCGCGTTCCTAGTCTCCTGGATGTCTAAATCAGTCCAGGCCAGGCCCAGGATGCTGCTCTCTCCAGCCCTTCTGGCATACAGCCATCAGGTTATATGGTTTGCATGCTGGACAGTAGCCATCAGAGGCCACCGTCCCCATCTAAGTTTCCTCCCTGCCCAGGGCAGAAGACTGAAAATGCCATCACACCCACCCTTGGAGGTACAGACAGCATCCTCATGGGCTACTTTCCCTGGCACAGGAATGGGCCAGTAACCCCGGGAGGTCTAGGGATACAAGGCTGGGGTGGCACCTGAATGGGAAATCAAACAGAGACAGTATCGAGAGAGGGTGCATGAATGCATGGGCAGTAGCAACTGGAATGTGTGGCCTGTTTTGCTCATCTTAAGGACCCTGCACTGATACCACTTGGACCCCGCCCTGACCCCTCCTCTCGTCTAGTTCTTACACAGAGTCTGAGTCACTGCCCCTATTTTGCAGATGAAAACACGGAGGCACAGAAGGCAATGTCAGTGACTTGGATGACTCAGATGGCCTGATACCAGCAGCTCTCTGGTCCTGGTGTGGGACCAACGTGGGTAGAACTCAGTAGCCTCAGTAGTACCAGTGCCAGCAATGGTCTCTCACAAGCAGCCCACGTGGAGGTTGCTCCCAAGTCCCCCAGAGCCAGTGCCGATAACTACACCCACACTCTCTAATTCAGCTTCCCGATTCTGAAGGGGGTGGCATGCTATGATGCCCCCGGTATAAAGGTCAGCCAGGTTGAGCTACCACAGACACATATAGCTCTGGGGAGAACCTCACAAAGTCACTGTGTGCGTCCCTTTCACGGGCCTCCCTGCCTTCCTAGGGATGAACCCACCAAGGTTTCAAAAGCTGGATCTCATTTTCAGCCTACACCGCTGATCTCCGGAAGCCTCTCCAGTCGTTCGCAGAGCCTGCTGGCAGGGCTGAAGCCTCCTGTCGCTGCATTCATAGCCAGGTCACTGGGTGCCAAACAGATGCTGAGGGCTCCGGCTGGCTCATGGCCTCTCCAACCACCGACTCTGCTACATTCCAGGACCGAGCTCCCTTAAAATACCCTTCCTGAAAGCAAACAAAACCCGGGCCTGAGAACCGAGGCCCCGTCTTCTTTTTTATTCCTCACCCTTCCTCCCTCTTTTCCTTCCTTTTTAAATACATCTATAAGGGACGCAGGGAAAGCCGCTGGCTCTCTCGTGCTGCAGATGGGTAAACCAAGGCCCAGTGACAGGAAAGGGGTCCAAGACCCCATAGGTTTAATGGCTGGGCAGGAGTTCCGGAATCCAGACAGGACTAACTCAGGCGCCCAGGTTCTCTGGGTCATTCAAATCTCTATAGGGATAGTCTTCGGTGAGGAAGGACCAAGTACTGATACCATAACTTGCCAAGACCCAAAGCATCCCCAGTGTTCGGCAGGGCCCTGGACCCACCTGATACTCCCCTGATGGAAGCCAGCCAGTGTGGGCAAGGCTGAGACCCTTGGGCTCCCTGGCACAGACTGAGTGGTGTTCAGTAAATGCAGGAAGAAGTCTCTGGGGAGGCCTTGAAGCTCAGGGGCAGGGCTCCAGAAAAGCAGGCTGCTCTAATGGAAACCAGTCAGTGGCTAACCCCCCCTCCTTGGTTTCCATGGGGACAGGATAGGAGGTGGAGCTCTGGCGTGGCTGCTGCAGCAGATGTGGCCTGTACAGGGTTGGGTGGGGGGGTGGCGCCTGGCAGGGAGCCCTGGGACGTGGCAGGAGTAGGGCTGGGCGCAGGGCCCTGCAGCCATAGCCCTGACGGTCAGCTTTAGGGAAGAGATCAGGGTGGTGGGTCTACCACCTCCAAGAAGTCGCCTGGATTCCTCAGGTGTTCCAAGTGCATAGCCTGAGCCTCCTCAGGAGGGATGGAGCCAATGGCATCTTAGTGAGGGCTTGGCCCTCCTGAACATATCTGCATTCGCCACGCCAGCCATGCTGGTATTCTGTGTGCCTCAGGCCTGCTGGTACTTGTAGAGAGGGGGGCAAACCCCTAGAGCACCACATGGTCCTCTCCACTGTACTCTGGATGGTGCTGCTGGGTCTCCTCCCACAGGCACACTTGGCCTGGTAGGCTGAAGGACCTAAAACCTGTGCCATGTGGCCATGAAGAACAGAGGGAGCTTGGCACGACTCTGGTGTGCCTGAGACTCTGTGGGCTTGGGGATTCAAGCCCCCAGCATGGGCCACACTGACTGAAGGCTGGCTGGGGTTCTTGGAAGGCTCCCTTGCTCCCTGTGTTGACACAGCCCCTATTCACCATAAAGAACTGGCCTTTTAGGAGACCACCATGACCTGGGACACAGCATCTAGTTCCAGAGTCCCGAGTAACTCCCTGCCTCAGGGCCCCGGGGGAACAACGACAGCACCATGTCCCCTCCTTCTCTCCCACTGTCACCCTGAGTGTGGCTCACAGCAAATGAGACCATGACGGTACGGAGACCAGAGGCTAGGACAATGTCCTGGACCCTTCAAACCTCCATACCCAGCATAGAGGTGTTGGTAGTTCTGTCAGGGAGGGGTCTTCAGCACCCTCAAACCTACATGAATTCCAAGCTGCAGGAAAGATCCTTACTGGGGTTGGGTGTCTGAGGAGAACCAGCCAAGGTCAGCCTCCAACAGGCAGAAAATAAACGGGGGTCCAAGATCAGATTGTTCAGCACAGCCATGGGGAAGATTGAGGCTAGGGTTCTGTTACCCAAGCTGTGTGGATGTGGCAAAGTTCCTCGACCTCTCTGAGCCTGTATTTTCTGGTATAGAAAAGAGGACGTCCACCCCTCACTAGACGAGGACGTCTTCCACCAAGGCGGGAGCTGTGTTCTGTTTATTCCACATTCTAACTAGTTCAGCAAGGGTTCTGGTCAGATGCTGAGATAAAATCGAATCGAATCGATTAAAGTTAAAAATGAACACATTTTAAAACACGGCCATGGTTTTTAAAATGCATGCAAATTCCCAGCACTTAGTAGGTACTCTGCAGAAGCGGAGTCACACAGAGTAAGACATGTTTGTGATAGCCAAGATGCACTGGTGCTCTCTGGGAAAAGCCTACTGCGACCAAGCTCTCACCTTGGGCAAGGCAGGGGCTTTCAGTTGTGGAGGTCTCCATTGGGGCCCGCCCACCTGGTCTTATCCCCTCTTTTGGCGATTGGGCACTGACTATAGTGGCCATGCCTTTGCTACCCTGGGACCTAGCTGTGAGGTCTTAGCTGCACGCTTGCCCTTGGAAGCACCCACTTTCAAGTGCCTGGCATGACCCCTCAGCTGGATGGCCCAGAGGGTCACCTGTTCAAGAGTGTCCACATCTCAGAGCTTTCCCAGGGTGCTACAGTACTCTGGATGCAGACCTGAGATCCTCAGACCCCAGCCCTCAGGATCTGAGTCTCCCAATGTGCTGGCATTAGGTGACTTCATTCTACGTTCACAGAAAAGGCCTGGCAGGATAGAATGTGTCTCCCTGACACTAAGACCTCTGATAGCAGCCATGTTGGACTTTGAAGGGTCTACCAGAAGGTCGCATGTGCTGCTGGTAGATGAAATAGGTCATTAATAGGAACTGTGAAAGCCTAGGCCCAGGTGAGGTTCATCCCACGAGCCCAGGCAGGGCGAGAGCAGGCAGGATCCCAGGATCCCTCCACCCACGCCTGAGCCAGAAGCATAGGCACACCTACCCCAGGAATCCCGGGCAGGGCTGGGCACCCAGGAAACTGGGCCAGAGGTTCCCACACATACTAGTGTGGCCAGGCTACCTCCTGAGCACCCCAGTTCCAGTCTCGATCCCCTACCCAAACTCAAAGTTCAAAAGCCTAAAGTCACAAGGCCCAACGCCAAGGACTCTTTCCCACAACTGCGACCCATCAACAACCCTGCATCTGGCCAAATGTCCCATCCCATCACAGATCTTTAGCCTCCCAAGAAGCCCGTGTGTCTGATGGTCTCCCATTTCGAGAAGGGGACGTTGAGGCTGAGGTGAACAAGTACCTCTCACTTACAAAATCGGGCTTCCGACATCTTCCTACTGGGACACAATGAGGTTATAAAGACAGAAACTCAAGGTCTTCCCAGCAAAGAACTCCCATGAGCTTCCTCCAGACTCAGACTGGTACTGTAACCCTCTCTTTAAAAACCAAGCCCCAAGACCTGTGAGGAGTACCGGGCGGGCTTCTGTCCCATCTCATTCAACCCTTCAGTTGTCTGACAACCGACAAGCCCTGCCCTAGGCCCTGCCTGTGTGCAGGCATCCACAGACCTGCCTTGGAAGGCCCAGCCCTGTGGGTGGCTCCTTGGAAGAAGGCCCCTAGCAGCTGACCAGCAGCAATAGCAGGACTTCCGGGCAGCTCCCCGCCCTAGGGCCCGCCTTTCTAGATTCCCCGCTCTGGGCCGCCATTTCCTCTGCTGGGCCCAGAGGCTCACTCACTCTCATTCCTCCGGGTCTGCAAATGGCCGGCGCCTGGAACTGTCCATCCGTCCACGTAGGGCCTTGCCTGGGTCTGACGACTACCTCTGACTATCTCTGCTCTGGGACTGACTGCACCCCACCACCCTCTACCTCAACTTACCCCAGCCTAGGGATGGGGGGCTCATTTCAAGGCCCTAGGGACAGCGATGGGCTGTCTACTGCAGTTATTGCAAGGGTGGACAAACGGCTCTACGATCCACTTAAAGAAGAGAGACAGAATCTAAAAGACACTGCCCACCTTGGTGGAAAATGCGTATCTATAACCGGTACCCAGGCCAGGTCTGATGCTAGCCACCGGGGCAATACAGACGCTCATATATGTGTGTGCATGTCACACACACACACACACACACACACACACACACACACACACACACCTCTGTGCATGTTTCTCTGCAAAGACCTTGTTGCACATCCATGTTCCAACCTGTACATGTGTGGGTACACACCAATGACCCGTGGGGACTTTGGAGGAAAGCCCATTGGGACCCGATTCCTGACCTAACTGCTCAGCTGGCTGAATCTTTCTGATTTTCCCACCTCTCCAGGTGGAAAGGAGAGGGGAGTAATGCTTTGGAAATATTCCAAGGCTCCAAAGTATCACAAGTAAGCAATAATTGGGCAAGGACGTGCTCCGTTAACTGAGCTTTCTGGTGTTAGGTAGGCCTCTGCTTTCTGTTCCCATTATATAGACAAGGAAACTGAGGCTCACAAAGTGAACTGACTTATAGTCAGAATACAAAGCCAGCCCAACTTGCCTTATGGCCCTAAGTATGTGCTCTTCCAAAAGTGACGAGCCATTGCACCCCTGGCCCAAACAGTACATGACACGACATTGTCACCACCCTCTTGCTTTGCCTTTGCCTTCACGGTGCCCAGTCCAGGGACACACGTTCCCCTGACTCTGAGGCAGCAGCGGACAGACTGGCAGACCCGCAGGAAAAGCAGGAAGAAGTTAGACATTCAGACTCACCGCTCCTAGCCAGCTGGGGAGGATTTCATCAATGTTCCACTGTTCGCTAACATCTCCACCAACAGGTAGAAGCCTTCAAATAAACAAGCCACAACAAAGTACTTCTATTAACAAATGGGTGCGGGGGCTGGAGCTCCCGGGGATGAGGGGGGGAGGGTGGCGGAGTACAGCAAGGCCCTTCCCTTCCTCTCTCCCAATGCAAGAGCCTCAAATGCTCTCTACAGGCAGGGAACACACTCCAGAAGTACAGAGGTCAGTGTTTAACACACGGGAAAAGGGGGCGAAAGTGCAGCTTAGCACTGGTTACATCATCACCTGGACACAATTCCCCAAATAAGCAGTTATCATCATCTGCAAATTACTGTGGCCGTAAAAGTGCTCTGGCCTCTAGTGTGTGGATACAGCCCAATAAAATCTGCGTTTCCTTATCTCGCTGGGACTATTTTTTTTATACCTACTCTATGCAACTGACCTACTGAAATCTTTTTCAAGTTTCGACTTAAATGTATTTTTGGACGATTTGAAATATTTATTATTTGTTTTTTTTTTCATGCAGGTCTCAAAATAATTACATGCACATTGACCCAGAATAGCCAAGGGCTGAACCTCCTTATAGTTAATAAGCTATATTAATAATTCCATGCCCCACAAGCTGGAATTTAAGGGTAGTGCTATGGTGTTCACGCAGCAAAATGAGATAAAAATTGGTAATTAATTAAAACACGGAAGGACTTTTGACACGTGGCATTTGGAGTCTTAAAAGATGGTGGCAGGATAGGTGAGCTGGCTCTACAGGTAAAGGTACTTGCCTGCCAACCTGAGTTCAATTCCTGGAAGCCACACGGGTGGGGGGAGCAGTGATTCCTGCAGGGTGTGTTCTCACCTCCACGGGCGTGCACGGTATGCAAATGCCTACACACACACAAACGGCACGCGTCCGTGTGTATATGGAGACCAAAAAAATCTAACAAAGCAGAGGCACTCTGTCAGCCCTTCCAGAAGATCAGGGAACACGCTCGCTTCTCGACACAAATGCAGCTTGTTTATTTTGACCTCAGTTCTTCGAAATTGTTGACTCCACAATTAAAATATGCCGTGTGTTCCAACAAGTACCAGGCAGTGGTAATGACAGACCAGCCCATCTGTGCCTCGAGAATGTATAATTTCTGTCTATAGTGGAATTTATATAGAAGCAATGATGTGGAAAGTGCTTTGCGTGGTACTTTCTTTCTATTTTTTTTTAATACTGTCAAAAAGAATTGGGTGCCATGGAAAGCACTCAGATCTGAGATTTTGCCCATTTTTTTTTAAAAAAAAAAAACAACAGAGTATGACATTTTACATTTGGGGGACCAGGGAGGGGGTCTGATGCTAACGGAATTTAAAACTTAGGTGGCAAGTGGATATTTACAATCTTCCAGGCACACAACAACAACAACAACAACAACAAAAAGAAAAAAAAAACAGTGTGACAGACATACACTAAAAGCAATGGGTAAACTGACTCAGAGTGGAAGGTACTAATTTAACGGTGAAGATTATTTATATGAATTATTTTTCTGTTACTTTCCCCTATCTTGTCCAAAAAGAAGATCAATTAACATTCAAGAAATTCTACTGCACATCCATCCAGAACTTAAAATTGGAGCTATATTCACCTACACTAACTATTAAAAACAACAGGCGAGGGGTAGGCAGCTGTTAAAATGCAGACTCGAGCTCCTAACTTCCCTTTTCTTCCTTGCCTAATTCTCTCTTTGCCATGCTTTTGCCTTTGAAATGTATTACAGTTTTTTTCCCCCATTACTTTTATTTTGCCACTAGTGTTTTATCCGATGCTTGCTAAATATTTGGGTGGAATGAATCCTCCAGCTTGCAGCAGCAGAATGTGGCTGTCATAATCGTGAAAATGTTTTAATTATCTCAGCTATATATGCCTGTCTCCGCAGCCCCAAACCCTTCAGTATCGACTGCTGCCTAGCGTAAGAACAAAAGCAGCCAGACTGGGCTCCGTTTTCATATTTGGTGGAGTCTGCTCTGGGCGGCTGCTGCAGCCGAGCTCCTGGACACACAGAACCCATGTGCCTCTGGACTAGGGAAACAAAGATGTCTGTACTTGGGAATTTTCCTCTTCCTGCACAGTGGAACTTTCTGTGTAGGATTTTCCAGTTCCCATAAATCAAGACCCCAGCTACCCTTAAACATTGGCTCGACCAGGCTGTGGTCGAGGGTGCTTTTGTCAGTGTGCCAGAGGGGTGGAGGTGAGCAGGCAGCTGAGCTCTGCAAATGTCACCTTTTTTATAAAGGATGGGGCCTGGGACTAAACTCAGACAGCCACTAACTCAGCTCACGGGCGATACTGGCAGGGCGGGTTACACAAAGGTCTTCAGGGGCTCCTTAGCACCCATCGGACACAGTTTAGGCTCTGTGCGGCCTGGCACGACTGTTCTGGTGAGGAACTAGGCTGAGACGGGGTCTAGACAGGCCTGGGAACCACTTGGTGCTCTCTTCTAAGGATTGCCTGGTGACTCGTGTTCATGGGCACTTCTCACCCAGCCTGGCAAGGGGGTTACAAGCTGGGCACATTACTATGATATAGATAGATTCCCTCCTCAAAATTACAAAAAAAAAAAAAGCCTTAAAAACAAGTGCTTAAAAAGCAGAGTACAAAACCCCAAATCTTCCCCACACTGAGCTGTCATCTGAGAAAACCTTTCTTCTTTAAAAAAAAAATAAATAAATAAAAATAAAATGAAACGAAAGGCAGAAAGGACTAAATCCCTAAACTGTGGAAATGGTGGCATTAGGGATACGGGACAGAATAAAAGAACCTCTGTTTCGGAACCCGAAAATACTCCCTCCTGTGTGCAGCCAGCCCTGCCTGTGCCTTTTGCTGAAGGACCTCACGGTGGTTCTGGGTTTTTCCCCTCTGCCATTCCCGGTACTGCCAAAGTTTTAAAAAAAAGAAATGGTAATGAAATAATAAGACCCCCTCCAACAACAAAGCGACACAGGCAAGGAAGGGCGGCTTGCCGACTGATGCCTCCTCCAGCCCTCATTCGGCTCCTCATCGAACACGCAGCCACCGCAAAATACCGAGCGTGTGTTTTCATTATCATTTTGAAAGCCATAGCTTTGGATCTTAAAAATAAATGGCTTGGTTTCTCTCTCTTCCCTGCAGTTTTTTGGCAGTGCCTGCTTTACTCAAGACTGGGAGGAGGAGGGGGGGCTCTTAAATAGAATTTGGGGTTTGGGTTAAGCCAATTAGAGGGAAGGAGACGTAACAGGCACGGGGCGCAAGATGGCAGGGCCCTCTGCTCATCCCCAGCAGGAGAAGGGGAGAAGGTCACTTACCAAGGAACTGAAGGACAGGGCCACTTTCTCAAAAGCCAGGAAATGAAAACGATGTCCCCTGCCCTGGCTGGGTAAGAGGGCTCCTGCCAGCCAAAAGGCTGTCTCCAGGTGCCAGTCTCTGCCGGACAGACCCTTAGGCCTCCCGGGCTCTGGCATTCATCAGTCCGTAGGTCCTGGCCTGGGCCTTGGCTACTCTGGCACCCGGGATTAGGACTGCCAGGAGCAAGTGGCGCTGGGGGAAGGCCCTGCTGCCAGCCTAGGAGGACGAGGAAAATGCTACTTTTGTCTCCTGCTCTCTCTCATCTGGCACTGGCTCCCAGGGAGGGGGGGCAGAGGCGGCCGCTACAGCTCAGCCCCGCCCACCGGGAATTTTCGAAAGATGCTCGTGGGTGCCTGGAGGATGGCAGACGTGGCAGAGGCGGGTGGGCCGGGCCCCCAAACCCACCACCAAAAAAAAAAAAAAAAAAAAAGGCGGGGGTTGGACGACAAGGAGAGGAGGGAGGATACGGCAGTGCCTGACCACTCAGCAGCTAGCCCGAGGACGCCTGAACACCAGTCCAGCCCCAGCCCAGGCGACAGTCAGCCGTGTAGATGGGCAGGGTGGCCCTGGCGCCATGTTGTGACTGACTGGCTAGCCAAGCCGTTCTGACGGGCCTGGAGTCCAGGCTGCCCGAACTGCTCCAGATAGAGGCCGCATTGTTCCTATGCTGGGTTCTGCAGAGAAGCAGGAGGTGGCTGGCACTCCGCTGTCCTCTTTTAGAGGAGTTGGGGCTCCCATTCCAGCTACCCCTTGACCAGAGCTCTTAGTGTGACCCATCCTACTCACAGAGGCGAGAGCTGCCTCAGCCAGGAGTCTAGACTATGGGTTTGAATTTAGCTAAGTGTCCACACATCTGCTCTCAGCCTTGGTTTTCTCACCTATGTTCGCGAGGGGGATTATGTCTCCTACTTGGAGCCGACGGGATGCAGAAAGTAGGGCTGGTGCTGAGCGCTGTGCTCATTACCCAATACCTGGGAGAGCAAGAAGATCCCAGGGCGACCAAGCAGCCAAGAACGAGGAGGAGTGCTGGGGCAGAGCTGAGATACATCACCTCTGTCCCCTCAGATCCTTCAGTGTAACTAAAGTCGCTCCGTGTCACTGTCTTGAGGACCCAATCCTATGCTGCAGCCCTCCGGAACAACCAGAGGGACTAAAGGCCTGACAGGGACGATTTTGCTAAAACTTATTAGATTCGGCCACCCTCTCCTACAGGTGTCTGCCTGCCCCTGCTAGATTCGCCTGGCCGTCCTCTCCACACCATGTCACTTCAGGCCCTTTGGATGACATCAGAGGTGCTCACGTAGAAAGGCAGTGAGTCTGGAGTATGGGGAGGGGCTCACGAGCAGCATGTGCCACCTCTCCTCAGACACCCAGGCACCACAGGGCCAGCTCGACCACCGAGGATGATGGAGGGACCACTGCCCACGGGTCTCACTCCTCACCATGTGGGACATGGTAAGGGTCTTTCTGTTCATTTTCAGCCGCGTAAAGGGTGGTCAGACAAACCATGTGGATCTGACCTTTCCTGGACAGCCTGCTTGTTTTCTACTGCTTCCTGCCTGCTCAGACAGTCATGCTGAAGGCCAAGAAGAGGATAGGCAGAGTGAGCTAGGAGGAAGCTGTCCCGGAGGAGTCTCTGGTCTCTAGCTCTGGCCTCACGCATACGGCCACGTGACTGCTTGCCAGCTGACGCCAGAGACAAAGCAGGTAGCATTCCAATGCCATGCGCTCGACCAATAATGCCGAGAATCCATGCCAGCAATGGTTTGGCATCGCTGCCAAGAGCCTGGCCCTGGGAGGAGAAGGGTCCCTAGGCCGTGTGAAACGGGACCTGTTCTGCTAGTCCACAATGCAGAGAAGCCACCGAAGCCCTACTTGGGGGTTCTGCTGA